AAAAAAAAAAAAAAGGAAATATTTTAAAGAAAAGCTACCTCAGTTTCAAAACTACTCACTCAAGATCAAACAAAAAGGGAACCTAGCCTCCAATTCAAGACTACTCTGATATGGAAGAAGAGGCCAGAGAAAGGTAAGAACTCTTCCTAAGAGACAGGTGTGGGAACAGAATCTTCACACACAGGTGACTAGGGAACCAGAGCTGGGGCTGCGCTTTCTATTGCCTCATGCTTCTCAAAGCTGGAGAGAGAAAAGGCAGGGCTGGGTCACAGCCTTCTGTGTAGCTTCCCCCACTTGCAGATTAAGGGTAAAAATGGACATTTAAACAAATCAGTGGCTGTGAATGCACAAACAGCACCTCTAGGAAACAGCCACCAGCCACGCCAAAAAGTACATGGACCAGCGTTCAAGGTTACTTCTGAGGATGTGTGCCTAGACCTTCCAAGGGGCCCAATTGGTAGTGGGACAGAACTCACGGCGGTGCACTGCCGGAGCAGGCACGACTGCTTCATGCGCCCGGGCCCCCCGAACTTCTTCATGTCTCGGCAGAAGTGGCAGTCCCCGCACTCAGTTCGCACACAGGCCCGGCAGCGACGGCAGCGGGTTCGGCGTCGGCGCGCTCCGGCCCCCGGCCCCCGGCTGCTCGACGACATTGGGGGCGTCAGCAACGCCGAGGGCTGTGGGTAGATGGTGGCAGGGTCAAATGCGCCCACTGGGGCCATGGTCTGGGAGATTCCTGGCAGCTCAGCCCCAACCCTGGGGAGTCAGAGCTTGCCCTCCTACCTAGTAGGACAAAGAGATCCCTCCTCCCATGTGTCTATGCACCTTAGGGTTGGGGACCTTTCTCTCTATTCAAGGCCTCTTCTCCTGCAGCAGCTCATCTTGTTCCTCATGGAGTGATGAGAACTGGCTTCCCAACCTCATTCCTCCTCTCACTCTTTCTCAGTGCCCCTTCCCCAGCCCAGAAGAGAGGGTTACTGGGGCCACTTCCCTGACATTCCCAAGCTAAAACTCTACAGAAGCCAGGAGCTCACTGTCTGACAGTACATCAAAAAGGTCTCAACTCTTCCCGTTATCCAAGCGACCCCAGGCACTTGCCCACCTAAAATTCCCAAAGTTTATCTCCAAGACACCACAGATCCCTAAGCAGAAACACCACTTTTATTTCTCCCTTTTCTTTCCCTTTCTCATAGGTAACAGCCATCCAATCTCTTTCTCCCAAATCTCAGCATCATCAGACCCAATGGGATCCTTGCCCTCATCTCTAACATCCACTCTGCCCCTTCGAACTTCTCAAGACTCTGTCGCCTCTGAGACGTTCCTCCAGAATCCCTATTTTCAGCCCAGGATCTCCACTCCTGTTCTTCAAAGTCCTTCCCCTCACATCCTCTACGATCGCTTAGGTCAACCTGGGTAACCTCCCGGATTCCCTGGGATTCTAGAACTCGGCCTGTCTCCACAGAACCCAGGAGGGGCTCAGTCTTAGATCCCCCCAGCTTCCCAGGCTGCTTTCCATACCTAATTGTCTGGAATCCCTCAGGCTTCCCTCCCCATGGAAACCAGATCCTCCAAGATCCCACAGGGATTCAGCAGGCCTAGAGGGTCTCTTCCCAGACAGTCTTACTCCAGTTTGCCCCGTGCCAGGGACCTATCCACGGAGTAAGGGACCCTCCAGAGCTCCAGGGAAAGGGCCCTGAGGGCGGCGACCGCAGGGATGGGTAGAGGGGTCTGGAAGGGGCAGCAGGGTCCGGGAAGGCTGGCCAGCTCCCTGGGCGGAGAGGTTACGGGAAGGAGGGCTGGAGCCGAGGCGTTTGGAGCAGAGGGAGGAGAGGGAGGGGCGGGGAAGGGGGAGAGAGGCTGGGCTGAGGATGAATGGAGTGGGAGCTGCCCGGGTCTGGGGTGAGGAGGAGCCGCACGAACCCACCTCACACGTGTCCCGGGAGCCATCTCTCCCTTCTCGGCAGCTCCCGGCGGGTCGGCGGCCATCGGCAGCGGGGGGGCCGGGCGGCGCGGGGCGCGGAACGCTCAGAACGCCGGGGTCCACGGCCCCCCGAGGGCGCTCGGCCCCTCCCTCCGGCGGAGGCCGGTACGGTGGCGAGTGGAGATGAGGGGCGCCGGGGGCGAGGCCCTCCCACGGGCTGCGGCGCGGCCCTTCCAGGGGGAGATCCTCCTCTGGGGGGCTCAGTCCCTCAGCCCCCCCAGACCAACGGGGGCTCCTCGGGCGCAGGGTGCTCAGTTTCTGCCCGGGCCCCGCTCAGTCCCGGGTTCGTGCCCCAGCTCCCCTCCCCCCAAACGCCCCGCCTCTCCCCGAGCCCCCGGCCCTTTAACTGGCCCCTTCCCGGTTCCCACTGCCCAGGGGTCCAGGAACGGGCCTGGGCCCCCCGCCGTTTCCGGGGTTCAAGCCCCGCCCACCGCCGGTTCCCGGGGAGGGGGGGGTCGCCGTAACCTGCCCCCCTCCCCTGGGCCCGCCCCTGGACTGCGGCCCCCCGCTCTACGGCGACCGGGAGAGCCGAGGGGGTGAAGGAAGCTGCTCCGGCCCCGCCCCCCAGCCAGCGCGCGCCCCCGCCCTCTCCCCCTCCCCCAGCGCGCGACCCTCAGGAGATAGGAATTTAAATAAAATTTGAATAAACCCCCTCCTCGAGCGGGAGCGTGGGAGGAAAGGGTAGAGTGGGACAGGGACCGGGGAGGGGGCAGCTGGGGTGTCTCAGCCCCCCTGGTCCCACGGCCCCGCGCTGCTTCGGCCCGGGGCCCTGGCCGCCTCTCTCATCCCTCCTCAGCTCCTTCCTCCTTCCTCCTCTCTTTCCCTCCCCTCCCTCCTTCTTTCCTCCTCCTCCTCCTCTACTCCCTCCTTCTCCCAGAGGAACCCCGCCCCCTACCCCCGCCTCCCTCCGCCACCTCTGCTTTCCAGGGTGGGCGCGCGCGGGGCACGACGAGAGTTGTAGTTCTGCGAACGCTGACGCTGCTGCGGAAACAAGGGAGCCCCGGGCCGGCGGGCACTACAAACAAGATGGCGGAAGGCGCGCAGAGGCGGGCGCCGAGGACGCCGGGAGTGCGAGTCCGGTTGGCCCGAGGCTCCCCGTTGCCGAGCATAGAAAAGGAGCGGGAACGAGGACTACAAACAAGATGGCGTTCTCCCCCGCCCCAGCCTCCTTCCCAGGCACTCACACGCCCGCCTATCCACAACCCTCCGCGTGTGTAGTACCTGACGGGAGTCGCAGTCCATCTGCTGCCTTCCCGCTGCCATTTCTACTCGTCAGGAACAATGGAAAGGTGAAAAGGAACGAGGACTACAAGCAAGATGGCGGAAGAGGGGCGTACACCTGACTAGCAGGCGAGCTCATGAGGTGCGATGGGAATAGTAGTTTTCTAGCCTTCTACTGTTCCTTAAGAATAGCGGAACCGGGAGAATAAAGAGACTACCATAAAGATGGCAGGCCACCTAACCTCTCCAGGTCGCCTCATTCAGCCACCTTCGGTACCTCGCCGCCCGCCTCTACGGTCAAAATCCCGCACCCGGCGGCGCAAAGCCCGACGGGAGTTGCAGTCTTCCCGGCTGCCTCCGCTCTCCGCCGAGACAATGGCAGGGGCGGGGCGGGGACTGCGGCCAAGATGGCGCCCGCAGGCCAGGGGCGGCGACTTGGGATTTGTAGTCCAGGCGCTAAGGCCAGCCCCCGCGGAAGCGGGGAGAAGGACTACAGCAAAGATGGCTGCCGCGCCACAAGCCCTGCGCCTGTGCCTGCTGGGGGACGTAGTCCCCTCAGGAGCGCTCCAGAGAAAGGACTCGGACTGGGCAAACGTGCACCCATCTCCGCGGACGAGCCAACCTGCGAGCCGCCGGAAACGGAAAGTCTTTCCGTGCTCTGCTCGCCACCCCTTCTGAAGGGACGTGCTGGGAGATGTAGTCCCAAGTTTCCGCTCGCCAGGGAAGGAGGGCTTGCTGTCAGCAGTGGGGATCAGTGCGCGTGAGGGAGAATGTCGGGGCCCCGTGTGGTGAGGATTTCGTTATCAGGAAAGGGAAGGCCTTTTAAAGGAAAGCGACAGTAATCAGCACCGTCGCGACAAAGGAGGCGCAGTTCTCGCCAACAAGTACACACGCTGCTGTCCCCTGGAAGGCTTGGGCACGGCATACCCGACGCTCCTTCCCCCAAACCTCTGGCAATCAGTGTCTCTCGAGGCGTGAAGGCCCCCAGGGATGACTCCGGGGGTCATAAAAACAAAAAATCCCTGCCCCGCCCCGGGAAGTGACCAAACCTCGGTTTTCTCACCTGAAAAATGGGCTTGCTGATACCCACCTGGAAGCAGAGTTAGGAATGGTAACAGTGTTCAGGAAAGTTCCCAGCTCTGGCGCGCGCCGCGCCGCGGTAACTCCCCTTTCAAGGTCTCGTCCGGCCCAGCCGTTCTGGGAGCCCAGGAATCCATCATGCCGGCCAGAGTTAGCTTTGGTGAGAAGAAAAGTGTGCCAGGCGAGCTACCCCCATCTTGAGCCGCCCCCCACCCCTCCTTATCTGGGTCATCCGGCCGCCACTACCGGGCACGGCTCCCAGGGGGCGCACCGCCTCCATTCACTGAGCTCCTGCAAACTGGCCCATCGCCTCCACCTGAAGTTGGCGGCGCTGCCCGCGCCCCATCTCCAGCCCGCCGCCCGCCGCCCGCCGCCCGCCGCCCGCGCAGGAGGGCCCGCTTCCCGCCCCGGCGCTGCCTCACCTGCCTTCCCGGGCTTCCGGCTCCGCCCGGAAAGCTGCTGCTTGCTGACCCCGCGCCAGCCCCCTCTGCGCCCCTCTCCTGGGGGGCCCTGCGGAATATTGGGCGGGTGTGGTTCTTCTATCAGGAAGTTAGCGCTGGCCGGTGTGCAGCGAAGCCCCAAGTTGGCAGGGACGAGCCTGGAGCCAAAGCGGAGCTCCCTCCGGCGCACGCTGCCTGGAGTCAGGAAATCCCTGGCTCGTGGAGAATTGTCCTCCGCGTTCTCAGAGCTTCAGCTTGCAGAATCGAGTCAAGGCCTTCTCAAGAGGAGCTTCCTGGGCCTCCTGTGCTCCACTCCATTTCCCATCCCACTTCTCCAGCCAGTAAACTGTTGCTTTCAGTCTAAATGCTGCCGTGGGGCGTGGTGGCGCATGCCTGTAATTCCAGCGCTGGGAGGCTGAGGCAGGAGGATCACTGCGGGTTGGAAGCGCTACACAATGAGCTCAAGGCCCGCCTAAACTGCATAGGGAAACCCTGTGTCAGAAAGACAGAAACAAACACCTTTAATGCTGCTGTCCCAAGGAAGGCCTTTTGTAATTCCTAGCTGAGGCTCATGTCTCTTACGCTGGCTCCTAAGCTTTATGAGACATCATCTTACGTCACCAGGTGATCGCATTTGTGGCTTTCATCATCCCATATGATCCTTATAACTGGTGGGTGCTAGCCCTACTATGAATTGCTGAATTATTATGGTGGTCATCTAATATGGCTGAAGCCCTTAAAACAACAGCATTATCTTCCCAGAGACCACCTCCCCCTTCTTCTCCAGCTCAGCCCAGGGTGCAGTTTCCTTTCACCTTTCCCGCCACCTCAGGGAAGACCCCAGTCGGCTCCTGGGCTCACATCTAAACATCCCCCTCAAACCTCCCCCCCAAGGCCAGGGAGATGGCCCAGTAGGATAAGCACTTGACTGGCAAACGCTAGGATCTGAGTTCAATCCCCGGTTCTGAAAAAAAACCTTACCCGGGGCAAAAGGCCATAAATGCCTCAGCCTCCCTTTGTTCCAGTCCAGAGAATTCCTTATCTTCCCAAATTCTCTCCGGGTCCTCCAAGATGATGAAGCCCCTTTCTCTTTTTCCTTCTGCCTGTTTCTCTGCTGTGACACCCTCGAAAACCTATCAGTAACAATCCTAGAAGGTTGAATCCCACTGTAGAGAGGCCAGAAACTGGGCAGCTCACCTGTACACAACAGATAGGTGGCAGATTGAGAAGCCAGTCTGCAGAGTTCAGAGCCTTTGCTCGGAGCTGCCACTTTCAGAGACTAACTGTCAGCCTCCTTGGTTGGTTGGAGGGGATTGGTTTTTAGGGGGAGGGAGGTTTAGACAGGGTCTCACTATATATAGTCCAGACTGCCCTTGAACTCACCGGAGCCTATGCGGGTCTCCAGCCACATATGTTTAGCTGACTAAAGCAACAAGTTTCTTTTTCTTTTTTTCTTTTCTTCTCTTTTTTTTTTTTGTGGCAGAACCGGGGATTGAACTCAGGCCCTTGCACTTGCCAGGGAAGCACTTATTCCACTGAGCCATCTCCCCGGGGGGCGCCCCCCTCCTTTTTTTTCAGACAGTTTCACTATGCAGTTCAGGCCAGCCTTGAGCTCATTTTTAGTCCAAGCTGGTATCCAACTCACCACAGTCCCCATGCCTCAGCCTCCCAAGTGCTGAATTACAGGTGTGCACCACCATGCATGACTTGGCCTGATTTTTTTTTAGCCCAGTCCGGCTTTAACTCACAGCAAAAAAATCCTCCTGCCTCAGCTTCCTGAGTGCTTGGGATTCTAGGCATGCTAGTGCATGCCCTGCTAGCTCTGTATTTCTTGATCAGAACAGTGGAGCCTAGCAGTGACTACCCCTTTTAGACAAGACACGTATCTCCTAGTTCCCCACAGTCATCACCCCACTTTCTTCCTCAATGTGAGCGTGGTGAGCCTAACTCTTATCACCCAAGGCAGCCAGAAGAAGCCTGCTAAGGGTCACAGACGGGTGGGAAGGAGTTCGTAGAGTGAGGCTGCATATAAAAGATATGGGAAAACTTTTACTCTTCACCTTATAAGCAAAGTTTTTATCATAAGGAAAATTATTTGTATACTTAAAAATGTAAGTTGAAAACATTATCATAGCGGGTCCAGGAAGATAGCTCAGTGGAATAAGTGCTTGCCTGACAAGCACAAGGTCGTGAGTTTGATCCCTGGTACTGCAAAAAGAAAATATCATAGGGCCCGGGGAGATGGCTCAGTAGAATAAGCATTTGCCTGGCAAGCATAAGGACCTGAGTTCAATCCCCAGTTCCACCAAA